CTGCATCGATGGCGTGACACCAGAGATCGATGAAACAACAGCTGTTCAAGGTATTCAAGGTATTCAGGGTATTGTCATGATTTTTTGATAGGCCTGGCGCAGTGTTAAGTAGCCCTATTGTCGTGCAGTAGATCAGTGGTTCAACTTTTCCCCCTATGGTTCTTTTTTTTCTCATTTCGAAGGTAAATGGTGCTGACATGTAATCGAACTCGCCATCAGCTTGCTTTTAAGCAACTCTCGAAACAGAGATCCGTCAGCAGCCTTACCAGCGAGTGGTTGCTGTTGGCACGTACTGTCACTCGGGCTACTTTCAGAGTGTTTTCACTTCTCATAGAGATCGAATACATTTGAAATTTATTAATTTCTGTGAGTTAATTTGTTTTTACGGTGTAAAGAACTGTTTTAAGGGAAACAAGGAGATGTAGAAGTGAATACGGCAATATCTGCAAAAACTGGAGCGGAAAATTTGAGGTTAGTAGTTTTTTTGTGACTTTTTTTAATACCAAGTTTGTCAGATTTCACTTCCGGCTTTAAATTTTTTACTTTTTACCTTAGAACTTTTAATTTTTTTTCTGAAAATGGTTAATTTTGATTTATTTTGAGTATCTTCAGTTGTTTTATATTGAAGTGTTCTTTTAATTTGTATAAAACTACAGTATCTGAACTCTTAAACTGATTTCATCCAAGCTAAAACTTAAACCTTCTAATTTTACTGATTTTTGCAGCAACCGAACATCTCATCTTTCTGAAGGCGCTACGAAAAATGTGAGTTTTACCTGTTATTTCACTTAGTTTTGGTTGATATTCTGCAAATTTTTCGCCAATGCTAATAAACACGAAGTTATAGGAGGAATCGGTGAGTCCAGGAGTGCAGTAAGGGCAAATAGCACGTCATTTTTCACAAATAATTATATATCTGTTTTAAAAAACTGCCCCCGCATTTATATTTCCAGGCATTCAACCGGGCCGGTCTACATGGGTTTTTCAATGACCATTCTTATCTTTCGGCGCACTCAACAAGGGAGTTGAAGAAAGAATTTGCTTCAGTCCGCGATGTTGGTTCTACAATTTCTTCTGCATCCAGTGGGCAGCATTTGCAAGCGGAGACCAATAAACGTAAGTCTTTTATCTGTATTTCTTATTTTAATAATTATGATGATAATAATTGTGATGTAATGATAATGATTATGATAATAATAATAATAATAATAATAATAATAATAATAACAATAATAACAATGATAATAATAATAATAATAGTAATAATAATGATAATAATAATAATGATGTGATAGTAATTATTATTATTCTAATAATTATGATGTAATAATAATCTTAAAATAATTCGATCAGTTTTACCAATTTCGTAATTCTTATTCTCCACTTTCCTCTTCCTTCTTATTTCAGTATACCTTTCTGCTGCTTTGGTTTAGTTTGGTTTTGGTTTCTGTTCAGCAAACACAACCTGTTATCTTAGGGATAGTCCCAGTTACAGTTATTGGCTTGGCGCTTTTAGTTGGTAAGCTCATTTTAATAGTTGCAGTAGTCGAATAGACGAGTAGTACACATCAGTGGTCCCGAGTGAGCATCTTTTGCACGATTTTTTTCCAGTGAGATCAAAACTAGCATGACTAATGTGAATAGAGTATAAGCTTGGATACATTATGACTGGGGCCATAGCTCAGGTGGTTAAAGCGCTAATTTTTGAATTTTTGAGCTGGTTGTAGAACACCAGCGGCGAAGGGCAGAAATCACAGGTTTTTCCGGTTAGACCACACTGATAAAAATGTCTGACATACTCATGAACAATGCAGAAACACGGGATTTCCCTTGTATTTGTTTCTGTATGTGTTTCCGGAATTTCCCTTGTATTTCATATATTCCATGGGAATGATAAATATTCGACCGAGGAACTCGAAAAATGATAAGGTAAAAGCATCAAAAGTTTCAAATTATTTGCAGCTAATAGCAAAAGTTGTTGGGGAGAGTGGAGTACCGTAGCTAATATTTACTTTTAAAATAGTCCTACTTAAGCCTAAAAATCTATTCTAGCATCTAATATGAGGTAAATTTTGCAGATGAAAGGAGAGATTAATATGCTGCAGTTACGGTTGCTGTAATTTGATTCTTCCGTGAAAAAAAGCCATATCTCTGGGTCTTCAAGGACTAAACGATTATTTTTTTTTCAGTTTCTTTATTTGTTTCAGTTAAAAAGAAAAGGCGACGATACCGAAATGAACTGGAATCGTTGCTTCCACCACCAGTGGATGTTGAGCAGTATGCGTTACAGATGAAGCCAAAAATTTGGAAGCCAAGAACAGCTGAAGAAGAGCGAGAACTTATCTACAATTTCCAAAAGGTGTGCCTTTTGCAGCTGCTATTCTGCTTCATTATATTAATTTTTACTTTAGATCATCCAAATTACCTCGTTTGAGATTGTTCCGCACTGCCTTGCACCTTCCAGTTGCAGCATGAAACACCATTTTTATTGTATAATTACGTTCAGTAGAAGTTTGTTTCTGATCCTCCGCTGCCTACCTCAATTCGGCAGCGAGTCTCATGATTTATCAGTTCAGCAAGCCCTGCCAAGGCTATAATAAGTTATTCCGGAAGTTAGAGCAATTGAAAATCAGCATTCCCCAGTAAAATTAAAATAAAATAATCAAATTAAAATAATAATTTTAAATTAAATAATTTAATAACTACTAAATGATAAAATAATTAAAATAGCTTGTCTAGGACCAGTTTTGCTACCAAAACAAGTGTTTAAGTGAAAGGTAGAGCTAATGATTCAGGTATAATTATTACCTAATTTCATAAAAATATAAAACACATATTTTTAATGAAAAGAAAGAAACGAAGAAACGGATACACCGACTTGATATAATCACTATGGATGCAGCACTTTCGGCATTGTACAGGTGCACAAATGTAACGTTTCATGGAAATTCTGCGTTCAGAATAGCTTGTCACAAAAATCCTGTGGTCGCACCTTTGCTTATTGCTCTCGAACTAAATTTGAACTTCACAGTGCGTCGTCGGATTGCTTCGATGTGTGCGAAACACATAAACAAAATTCTGGCCGAACATTATTTTCTTATTTCCTATATTACATGTTGTGATATTTATTAGGCATAAGCAAAACTACAAACACTTCTCGAGAAGTAACCTAGTAGAAAGCGTACCGGCTGCCGGTACGAGGATGCGTTTTTTGCGCAGTTCCCCCCGCAG